CAGGGATGATGGGATGTTGCTTTATAAGTGGTTTTTACGTGCTGGCCGTAGGAAACGTGCGGAAAAATATTTCCTGCCTGCTCTGTGCGACTGCGGTTTTCAGGAATATATTTGTTCTGGTTAAAGTCGGTTGGAGCTGGCGGGTCTTGGCTGGTTTTGGGCTTGTTGGAACGTGGGCAAAGCCAGTCAGAAGCTTCTAATGAGAGAACTTGTTTTTAGTTCCAGTTAGTTTAATTAATATTTATTATTCCTGGCTTGTTGGTGTTTCGTTGCTGAAAGCAGAGTTGAATGTAGCAGTCTGTTGTTGCTTAGTCATTCAAAGTCAACTTAAAGCTAATAGTTATTAAAATGTATTGTTGTTATTATAGGAAGACTGAATACAGCTGTGATGCACATCTGTTTGATGAAGAAGACGTTGCTTTTTTGTAGTCACTTTGCAAAATTAGCTGGATTGAAAAGTAAGTATCTTTACTGTATGTTTCTGAGATAATAATGAGTAGTTCCTTAATGTTTTAATGGTTTGGGTGGTTTTTTTTTGTGTGTGTTTTTTTTTTTTTTTTTTTTACTGTATAACTGTGTAATGCTACATAAATGATAGTGCGTGAGTAAAACTCATATCTTTTATTTAAGGTAAGAAAAAATATGAAAGAAGAAGCAAGCGCAGATGATTTTCAAGTTCGGGATTTTCTCAAGAAGAAGAAGAAGAAGAGAAAACACAAAGAAGGCAACAAGAAATATAAAAATGATGAAGGAGAAGGTGGACAAAATGCAGAGGTTAGCCATGCTTCTACACTGCTGCTTGAAGACCAAACAGCACAGAGTGGTGAAGGCTGTAAAAAGAAGAAAAAAAAAACAAACAAAGGGGAGAAGCAACAGTCTTCATTAGATTGTTCTTTTGTCGAACATGAAATTAGTAATGAGACTGGAGTGGATGCTTTCCAAAAGAGAAAGAAAAAAAAGAAACAGAAGCGTAATGATAGTACAGATGATCAAAGCGGTGTAACTTTTGTCACAGTAAGTCCACATGGCACTGATAATTGTCAGGAGACGAATGCTGATTACGTTTATTTAAAACAGGCTATTAAGAAGAAAAGAAAAAAATTACTTGAAGAAGAAAAGGTACATGAGCTGCCTACCTCAGAAACATGTGATAAAAATGACAATCAAAGATCAAAAAAGAAGAAGAAGAAGAAAAGAGACAGTAGTGCCCAAGATATGCAAGAAGACATAGATGTAACTGTTGACCAGTCACTGTTGTTATCTCTAGAGCAAAACAGGCAAGGAGAGGACACAGCCTTGCCATTACCTGAAGACGAGGGTGGTGTGGCAACACCCCGGCAATGGCATGAAGATGGTGACGGTGATGCTTCTCCTGCCATGAGTGAAGGTTCTGAGGATGTACCTGCTGATTCTTCTAAGCCAACTAAAACAGCTGATCAGCGTCCTCCGAAAACTCCAGGGCGTGGTAAAAAGATAATAAAAAGCAGAGCTTTTGTCACGGAAGAAAGCTCTTCAGAGTCTGATGCAACGTAAGTTGAGTTGTCTGGTTTTCCCTCCACCTCCTAGGTGTTTCTATCACGTTATTTGGGTCCTAGGTTTTTCTTCAGTTTGTATTGTATGTGTTTTTAAAAACAACTTAAGAAACTTTTATAGTATGATGAGATGGGACCTACTTAAAGAGTTTAGTTGTGAATACAATAAAATTTGTAAGAATACACTATTATTGCCTTCAACATAGAATATTTTCTTCTATTTAAAAACTGTAGGTATAGAAATAATTTATGTGCAAGTAACTTGTATTTAGTAAAAAAAAAAATGGAGAGGAAGGGCTTCCATTTGTTAAATTTAGTGTTTATATTGAACATAGACATTTTTGCCAAACAAATAGTAAGGTCAACTAAAGAATTCAGTGTTCTGTGCAAACAAATGCTTGTGTAAGTAGCTCTTGGTGCTTTTACAGTGTATAGAACTCACAAGAAGAGCACTAGTAAGAGGCAGATGGAAAAGTTCTGTGTTGTCAGTGATAGCAAGAGGCACTATTTCTTCTGTATGTCCATTAGTGAGAGTTTTGTGGGAAAGGTCCATATTTTCAACACGCACTTTAATATCCTAAGTACAGAAAATTGATAATAGATTACGTCTGTGTTAAAAGGTTGGCAATACAAGGGGCTATATGTGTGAAATATTCCTTTTTCTTTGATTAATGAACACGTTCATTCTTTTAATGGTAGAGATACTAACAAAATCTCTATTTTGAGCTCTAGAGGTGTATTTATTGTACTCCTTTGTTTAATATCAGGACACCAGAACCCTCGGCGTCAAAGAGAAAGGAGGACCAGAAGAGTTCCTTTACTGAAGTGGTAGCCTCTGATGATGAAGAGGACCTGGACTTTGGCATGTATTCATTCATCGATTTGGATTCTGCAAAGCAAGAATTGGAAGAGTTTATTCCTCATGTGAGGAACATATCGGACAGTTCAGTCAGGAAGATGGCTGGAAGAGACTTAGCAAGGTTTAAACGGTTTAAAAAGCAAGGTGAGCTCTCAAAATATTCTTGTAGTGAGGAAGGACTGTGCAGCTGTGCTAATATTTTGACAGAAAATAGTTAGGTTTTGTATGGTGTCTGTCACATCCATGGAGTCTGGTTCACTTCATTCCAATGGACGTATTTTCTGTTTCTCTGCTCCGTACCATCTGCTTCTCATTGTCAAATTACAGTCCAAAGCATGTGTGTAAATTACCTGCTCCCAGCTCTTGTTTTGTCTCTTTTCAGTTTTCTTTTTTCACCTTTTGAATTTGTTGATCTTCCATTACACATTTGCCGAATGTAATACACAAGAGATTGTACTTGAGGTTTGCTGTAATTTTTTTCTTTTTTAAATATAACTTCCTATGTATTTTAGGTATTGCTGTCAAGTTTGGCAGATTTTCCCAGAAGGAAAATGATCAAATCCGGAAAAATCTTGAAGAGTTCTTATCAATTACTGGAATAGACAGTGCTGAAAAACTCCTGTTTACCTCGAGGTATCCAGAAGATAAAGGAACTATCAATCGTCTAAAAGCAGAACATGGTTTTTGTGAAAAACTTTGTAAGTATTTAAGTTCCTTCTCAAATAGCTGAATGTTACATTCCACAACCGGGTGATACCACGATATATTTTCTAAAATAATTTTTTATTGAAAAGCACTAATGTTGCTAAATTCAGCCAAAAGGGAGCATGCTGCTGAGAGTATTATCTTTTCTCAGATACGAAGAGTTTGGAGATTACAACATCATCATGACCAGCAGCACTTACAGACTTTCATACTTGCGTTTGGACTTTATGGTTTAAGGTGCATTATTTGGTAGACTTTAATTAAGCATAGTAATTTATTAATGGGAGGCGTGATTAAGTCCTGTCTGAAATTGTTAGTCGGTTCTTAGAGCATGTAAGTCGGTGGCAGGTTTGGGAGTGAGTGATGGCAGAGGAACTGAAAAAAATTAGGTCATCAGCCAAAGTAGTTTTCCAAGATGTGAGGAAAACAAATAAAATTCTTATGGCTAAAATTCTGTTTGCAGAAGGAGCATCTCTTCTGTTCCTCTTTCCTCATTTAGTTAGGCCTCTCCTGGCTAGAAAATATTCACTCTTCGTATGGCAGACACGCTCATTTTGTAACATCTCTGATGAATCTACTCAGTGGCTTTCCATTCTGTGTTTGTTCTGTCAGCATAGGCAAGACAGAGCAAATGACAACCTGTGATGGATTTGGATGCTAGCGTTTATTTAAAGATCAATGGGGCTACAGATTTGTTCCTCCTTGATTATTTCACAAACACAATCGTTCCCTCTGCATCATCCCGTCACATTTGCCTGGTGTTGACTTCTCTTCCCATCTGGGAGATTGCAGAAAATGTCGGGGAAAATTGGGCAGACAGTCCTGTTAGTGTTACATGAGTTGCTTGCAGCTACATGTCCTGGGCATTGCTGACCAAGACTTGTTATGTGTTCCCATGTATTGGTCTCTGTGGATCTTCCCCTACTTCAAGGATCTTTCCTTCAGCCAAGATCTTCCCTTTGTTTTAGCTGGATGCCCCCAGTCCCTGGTTTTCCCCATCAAACTAGAGTATATGCAGAAGCACAATGTCTCATCAGCCTCCTGCCTGGTAGCTGTCTCTTGTCTCTCTGTTAAAGGGACTATTCAGTATGTTACTTACATTTGATCCAGATGTTATCAAAATTTACAGCCAGCCTACACAATTTGTAGCTGGTGAGTAACAGGTTTGTGCTTGAGAGTTCAAAAGTTCAGTTTTCAATATTCACCCACACTTAGGTACACACATACACAGTTATTTACCAGCTGTTGGCATTCACAATCTTACCATGGTCATAACAATTAAATCTTTGAAAATCCTCGTGAGATTCTCTTGAGACTATTTCCTGTGCACTTACTGAAGTGTTGTAGGGTACGTTTTCTTGAATGGAGAGAATCTGTCATTGGCAGCATGGTCATGAAAATGTATGTTGTTTGGATTTGGTTTTGTTTAGGTTTTGGCTTTTTTAAAGTGGTCTCACCAGTGTCTGAAAAATGAATCCTTTACGTTCTAGCTGAGGGCATACCACGACCCTGGAGGCTGATATATTATCGAGCAAGGAAGATGTTTGACCCAAATAATTATAAAGGGAGGTGAGTAATTTGAGTTTCTGAATGCTAATATCAGTCTCTGATGTTTATTTGTACATTAAAACTGGATATAAATTAAGATAATCTCTCCCATTCGTGCCAGTTACTGTGACTTAATTGACAGTTCATTTTTCTGACTATCCCTTATCAAGACTTTTTTTGGAAAATGTGACTTGAAATGGTAGTGATGAGTAACATTGAAGTACCTGTGAAGTTTACAGCTCTTTTAAGATATTGGAATGGTTTGAATTTGCAGCTGAAACTCTGCCTGTTTCCTCAACTAGGTATACTAAGGAAGAAAAAGAAAAGTTAAAGAAGTATCATGCTCTGCATGGCAATGATTGGAAGAAGATTTCCGAGATGATGTCCCGTTCTAACCTCTCAGTTGCTATGAAATACTCTGAAATCAAGTCGAGTATGTAATTTTGGGGAAATTAATTCTTTGAATTTGAGAAGTTATTTTAACTGTACGTTGTATGTACCCTAAACTTTAGGAAAAAATCCCAATAGTGGATTTTTTTTTTTAAAATTTCCTTCTGGTATTGGTTCTTTTTTCCAGGCCACTGCTTACATTTTCATACAGAAGGGATAAGAAGAGTTATTGATAGAAAAGGGAGAAGTAGTGGAACAAATGCAACTCTTTATTAAATGGAACTGGCATCTAAATAGCTGCTTTCACAGGGGGAGGGCAGGAGGAATTTGGAAACCAGGTTTTAAAAGATAGAAACTAGAGATGAGCACTGTTCTTCAGTGATTAGGCTGAACTTCTCTCTCAAATCTAGTATGCGGAAGAGTTTCTGGGACGTGTGTTAAGGAGCTGGTCCTGTAAATAAGAATAATGCAAAGTGAAGCATTTGCTCTTTTGCCTTTTTGTCCTAATCATTTCTGATGAATTATGCCTTAACCTTATTTTTCAATTTTAGCTGTTAATTATGGTCCTTGGTCAAAGGAAGAGACTCAGAAGTTAAAGCATGCAGTGGAGGAGGTGATCAGGAAAAGACTGGAAACAGAAGATGCAGATTCTGTTTCATCATCAGAAAAGTCACATAGAGATCTCATGATCGACCGTGAGAAACTGTACCAGAAATTACCATGGACTGAGATCGAAGCTAAAGTGGGAACTCGATATTGGAGACAATGTAAACAGAAATGGTAAGAGTTTGTACTAAATTGAGATAGTAAAATGTGTTCTGGGGATTATTTAACTATTCTGCAAAACTTTGTACCGTGATGATTGTTTGGTGAGATAAGTAATAAATAGTTTGTGGACTACTGAAGAGGTGTTGCAAATGTGTCTGAGACAAATGCATAACTCTTTGCTAGCTGTGCTAAGTTTTCTTCTTGCTGTGATAGTGAAGCCTGACTTCTGCTTGTCTGACAGCAGTAGCAATTTGGAGACACTTCCTTTTGATGCTTGGAATTTCTTGAAATAATAGAAACTTTTTTTTGTGTGTGTTTTCAAAGGACTACAATTTTAACAAACAAGATGACCAAAGGGCAGCAGTTATATAGGGGGAACAAAGGATTACAGGCCAAGATCAATCTTATTAAAAGGTATAGTTCAGAGTTACTGGAATGCTTTGTGTCTCTTACTGTTCTGAGTTGCGTTTATAAAAGCTTTCAGAGTGAGAATGGCATGCTTGCAGTTTCATACAGGTTTTGCAACTAGTCTTTCTTGGGACAAAACGTCCCATAGCTTCTAACTGGGGGACTGTGAGCATTATTGATTTATTTCTTGAATTCTGCCTACAAACTGCTTCTGTATTGTATTCACAGATTGCATGAGCTGAAAGTGGAGGATGCTAATGAAGTAAACTGGGAAGAACTCAGTAATACTATCGGGTAAACTTTTTTTACCTCTTTTTATGGATACAAAGGATAGTTGAAGTGATAGTCTTAAAAATTCCAGAAAGGAATGAAAGTTCTCAGGCCTCTGCAGCTATAGAAAATGTTATTTAGTTGGGTACCATACAGTTGTATATCGTTGCATAGTACTGAGCAATAAACCATGCCTATAAGCTCTGAAACTTAATTTTAACCACCTCAGGCAACCCTTGCAGGCAGCACATTCTATGTGCTAAAACTGTGTTATGTAGTCTGTGCTCAAGACGGTGATAAGACTTTTCCAGATGTTAATCAACACGTAGGAAAAAGGGATAGTTACAGGAATGTGTAATGTGATACAATAGTCTTCTAAACAAACTAAGTGTTGAATATGAAATTACCAATACTGCGACTGCTATGCTTTCTCTACAGCGCTTTTTTTTCTGCGTACTTTCAGTTTCATTTATGGCTTCTTTTCAGTAAACATATAATACACATGTGTAATGGCACGGTTTAGGTTCTCACCTTCAAGGGGAACTGCTGTCTTGAAAACCTGTTTTGATTAGAATTTGAAATCCATCCTTTCTACCTAAAACTAAGATACTGTTTGACCAGCGTCACTCTCATGAATGAATAACTCAGTAACAACTAAACTTTGTAATAGTTCCTTGCACCACTAATTCTTTGAACTCTTCTCTTTTCAGAGATGTTCCTAGAGCCTATGTTCAAGGAAAATTTTATAAGCTAAAAGTCTCCTGTGTCCCTTTTTGGCAAAAAAAGACTTTTTCTGGTCAGTATCCAAACTGTTTTTGTATACTTCTTGAGGTTTTCGCTAGAATCTAAGAGGATATGTATTCTAGTTCAATTCTTTCTTCCTTAGCTTTCCGCTAAGTAAATTGGCTAAAATCTCAGGCTTTGTGTGTTTTTCGCTAAATGCCTTTCTTTTTTTTTTTAGTAACAGTTTACTTTCAGTGGCATCTTCATGCAGTGCTTATCAGCCTCTTCTCTTTAATACTCTGGCTTTAAAACTTTTATGACTCTGCTTTTTTAGTTCGTCTTTGCATGTATGTGTGTGTCTGATCTACCCTGCAGCCACTGGGATTACTATGAAACAGTGAGATTTTTTGCATTTAACACTGACAGTTTCTATCCGTGAGATCCTGTTTCCCCATGGCATCCAGTTCCGCAACAGATCCAATTGAAACCACTTTTTTTTTTCTTTTTTTTTTTTTTCAAAGAAATTATTGATTATCTTTTTGAAGAGAAACTTCCGGAACTTGAAGAGAAGTTAGAAAGCAGGAAAGGGAAACACCATAGTTCTGACGATTCAGCAATCAGGCAACAGAAGGCGGCTTTCCGACTCAGTGACATCTTTGACTCCAGTGAAGAGAGTGATTAATTGACTGCCTGAAAACCAATTCCTAGTCTGCACATTTAACTGCCAAGTGGATCTGGTTGAAAGTGGGCACAGATCAACAACTGCAGGTACACAGGTTATCTAATAATGGAAAAAGTAAAGATATGCACGTCTGATTTTCTTGTTTCATATTGAAGGCTGAGCTAAATACAGTTTTTGTGCCACCTTTTGTTACCTTAATTTAGCTCTGGTTTTTACAAATCTTTTTTTAAGCATCCAAGTTGTTTTCTGAGTGTCTCAAAAATAGTATTTTTTCCACTGCTTTGTTTTTGATGGAGTTGAAAGCTGCTGTTTACCCTTTGTGTACAAACTTAGTTATCAGAACTTTAAATAATTTAAAAAAAAAGTAAATTCATGCAATTGGGAAAAGGCTTTCAATCTGCTTTTAAATCTCTATGATAAACAAATCTTAAGACATCTGTGTTGATGGAAACAGCACAACTTTGAGGTTTAGGTTTTTTTTTTTTTACAGATACCTTGTTCGTAAAAGCAACCAATTTTTATTTTTGATGTAGACTTACACTTTTATCAGGCCTTCTGGAGAAAAAGGATATTTGTCCGTTACAAATCATAAATCATAATGACATTTCATGCTAACCGTGAAAATTTAAACATTTAAAATGTTTTTGTTAATATTTAGAATACAAAGACAAAATGGACAGTGTATATATATACACATATATATTTTTTTTTTTCTACTGGCAAGAAAAAGTTCTACATTTTAATCAGAAAGTTGAGGGATAAGATGGGGGTTGTACTCATGTCCTTGTATGATATTTTTAACTATCTGCCTAGAGTGATTATTTGTAAATTGACTGAACGAATGTAAAGAACTCCTCCAAAATCTTGCTGTGCGTGTAAAGTATTTGTATGGCTTGTTTATATTTCCTATATGCTGTATGAGAAAGTAATGTAAGAAGACTTGATCTCTGACATGCTGCTTTTTGATAAGCAAGAATTTCCGTCTTTAATTTTAATAATTGACATTGAAAGTGCAGAACTTTTAATGGCTTGAAATAAAGGCCTTGTTGGCGGTTCTGGATTGTGATTTATCTGGATTGTGATTATTTAAGGATGTTAAATGAGAATTTTCCATCTTTAGTCTGGCTTTGGTCTCTCTGAAGATAGAAACGATGTGATTTTGTGGGACAGGCAGGACACCTCATGAGATCAGCCACCTGTGTAAGGGTAAGATTTCCAGCCGAGAGGTGAAATGGGGGAAAAGCCTGTGTCAGCTCCCTTGCAGTTACGCCTTTGACTTGCTTCTGTTGCCTTGTGGGTTTGAAGGTTAATAGCTGAAGAACTTGAATTTTTGAATCAAAGAGAGTTGTGGTTTTTTCAGTTTTTTTTTTTCCTGGAAGATGGAGAGCCTCTGGATTTTCTGCAGGCTGGAGCACAAACGGTTGCGTGGTTGTACCTCCATAACGAGGTACTTTATCCTTTGCTTTATAAGGAAGATTCTAAAGGAAGACTCTTGCTGATTCTTGATAACAGCAATTTCTCTGCAAAATAATGTGAGTAAGCCTGGGCAGGAACTGTAAACTTGGAGCCATCACTACGCTGACTGCTGTGGGGAAAAACACAGACCTGACCTGTGCTGCGCAGGAAAAAGGGAGAGGCTGTGTCCCTCCTCCCCACGGTCCCGGGGAGGGAATAAGGCAACGGTTCCTTACCCATTATCTCATGGGTAACGCGGTGTTTGTGATCTGTTTGCACATGGGCAGATAATTGTTTGGAGGAGGGAGAGCACTGCTGATCATTTCCCGTTTGCTGAATAATGGCACTTAAGAGGGCATAAGAAAGCAGCTTTTCCCTTTGGCATCGTCTTGCGCAGGCACACGGGAGCAGAGGCAGGGGAGGCGGTTGTGTCGTGTGGGTATTTGAAGATTATTGAGAACAAAGCAAACTGTGTGCAGAGGTTCAAAAAAAAAAACCAAACGGGCTTCACAGAATGATGAGGGAAGTAACGTTGACAAAGCTTTGTGTATCGGGCTGCGTTATAAATAAGAGCATGACAGATCCTTCAAGTCTAAAAAGCACTGCACGTCCCCGAAAAACTTCGGCGATTCAAGCAGATGTGTCGCTTCAAGCATTTTTCCTGGCGCGTTAATGGCTTGAATAGTGTTACAGAATAAAATTCTTGGCTGTGTGGCATTATCAAAGACGGAGACAGCCGGGTTACACGGGAGTTGCGTTTGCGGCAGGGAAGCACTTCAAAGTTGAGGAGTGCTACGGCGGCGTTAGCTGAAGATCAAACGCTCACTTGCCTTTTCCACCCCCCTCTCCTGTAAAGTCCTGAAGGAGCGACGTGGGGGGACTGAAGAAAGGCAAATAGTCCCTGTCTGGTTCCTCAGAGCCCCCCTGCCCACGGCACAGCATCATCCCTGTGCCCTGCAGGGTCGATGATGGGGCTGGGCACAAACCTTGGCCAAAGTGGCTCCATCTCCGGGGTCTGCAAGGCAAGGGCCAGGCCTGAGCGGGGGCAAAACCTTCTCCTGCCTCTTTCAGGGTGTGTGGGGAGTATAAAAAAAAGTGGGCTCCGTTGCGGCACAGGCTGTCAGGAAGCCCCCCCGGGGTTATTGCTTCAGCCTGCTGGGGAATGCCCCGTGCTTGGCTTGATCTTGGATTTGGGGTGGGATTTTATTAGTTTGGTACTTAAGTAAGTCTGTCCTCGAGGCAGTGCCCTTAGCTGGGCTCCGTGGGGCTCCGACGCCGCTTGAGTTTATGCTCCCGCGCACTTCCCCTTTCGCCCGCGCGCCTCCCCGCGTTACTGGCCCTTTAAGGCGAGGGGGCGTGGCCAGCGCGCAGGGGCGGGGCGCAGGGCTGGCGCCCACTTCCGTCG